CTCCCCAGCCTCCCTGGGCAGCCTGGGCCAGGGCTCCGTCACCCTCAGAGGGAAGAAGTTCTTCCTCATCTTCAGCTGGAACTTCCCAGGCTTCAGTTTGTGCCCGTTGCCCCTTGTCCTGTCGCTGGGCACCACTGCAAAGAGTCTGGCCCCGTCCTCCTGACCCCCACCCTGCAGATATTTAGAGGCATTTCGAAGGTCCCCTCTCAGCCTTCTCTTCTCCAGGCTGAACAAGCCCAGCTCCCTCAGCCTCTCCTCGGAGGAGAGATGCTCCAGTCCCCTCCTCATCCTCATAGCCCTGTGCTGGACTCTCTCCAGTAGCTCCTCATCTTTCTTGAACTGGGGAGCCCAGCACTGGACACAGCACTGCAGATGGGGCCTCCCCAGGGCAGAGTAGAGGGGGAGGAGAACCTCCCTCAACCTGCTGGCCACACTCTTCCCATAGTTAGGAAAGAAAGTAACAGGTCGGTGCCTTGCAGATAATTAATTTCTTGACCGTTCAGATCAATAATGGTATTTGTACTTTGACCTGTAGAGTTGTCAAGGGATGCTTAAATCAATGTCATCTTAATTGCTATGGATAATAATGGTAATGTGAGAGATTCAGTGCGAACAGTAAGAGCTCCTTCTACCACAGATGTTGTTCAAGGTATGTTTATGCCCAATTAGACGTAACCAGAGTGAACTTCACCGAAAGATAACGATCAGATACTTTTGCGCGTCTCAGGAAGGGGAGCGAGCGACAGGAAAGGAGCTGGGGACCGGACAGCCAAGAGGAAATCCTCGGCTCTTTGTTTCACCAGGGTTGCCACCCGACGAGCACCAGTGCCGTGCTGAGGTGGATTTCAGAGTGGAATTCACTGAGCTGCTGCTTGCAAACAAGCTGGTAAACTTGGTGTTTGTGAAGAACTGATCTTGCTTTTCTTCTTGTTCATTGCAGGTAGCGGATTTTGGCCTCAGCAAGGTGTGTCAGGGGAAAGGGAACGTGAACCAGCATCGCTTCTCCTCTGCCTGTGGGTCGAACTTCTACATGGCTCCAGAAGTGTGGGAAGGTCACTACACTGCGAAGGCTGACATCTTTGCCCTGGGGATCATTTTCTGGGCGATGGTCGAGAGGATCACCTTCCGCGATGGGGACACCGAGAAGGAATTGCTCGGTGAGGGTCAGATCAGTGCTGTCCTCTTGTCGGTGGACGTTCTGGAATCTGTAGGGATCCTCCGAGAGACGTTTCTTCCAGGCATAGTTACAAATGATGTGGCTTTTTCCAGGAGCCTGCAAGTACTTTGCAACCCAAAGAAACCCAAAGTTGGGCTTTTTTGGGTGTTTTGGGGTTTTGTTTTTGAGAGAACTGCAAAGCAATCACTGCTCCTTCAGCATGCGTTGCTCCTAATTTGGTTGCTTGTCATGCAGGGTTCCCAGGTCTTGAAGAGATACCACGAAGGCAGAGGGAATGCTCTTTATATTTACAGATCATTTTGCCTGGAAGATCCTTGCTTCTGCCAGAAATACTCTGTGGGTTTTAAAGGTTAAGAGAGAGCGCTTCTGGCTTCTCTGCTGTCAGACCTTCCATGCCCTAAAGACTGCTCTTGAAAAATGGGTTTGTCCCTTATTGTCATGACAGAATTGTAAGAGAAAAAAACCTCGTAGCTGTTGGCGAGGCGTCTGCCTTAGAGCTACACTCTTCACCGTGGGTTTGGTATCTGTATGCTCCCGTTTGCCCAGAAATGCTTCCAGTGCTCTTTAAACCAACACCTTTCTCGAACTGGGCTCCTGGGTTCGCTTGTGTCCTTGACTTGGCATAACCAAGGGACGGGATCGCTCGGAGCGCTGGAAGGATATTCCGAGGAGCCAAATAATAAACCGGGGGAGGATGTTTCGATCAGCTTCGCTGCCATCTGGCTGAGTTTCCTCATGGTTTCGAGGTGCCAGATCTCACAGGGATGACTCGACCGATGGCCTGCTCTCCCCCTCTCTCCCCGCCTCCTCCTTCCTCCAAATCCCCCACATATGTGCACGCTTGAAATGCTTTGTACTAACTGATTTCAGAGAAGTAGATTGCAGTGGAAAATCCATCTCGAGAGGAGACAATGCCAGTTGTGCACATTAGCATAATAATTGAAGACATCTACCCAGGCTCTGAGATCATACTATACCTGTCTGTCTGTCTTTTCAATGTTTAAAATCTTAGAAGGAATTTCTGCGGAGGAACTCTGAGAAGCTATTGTGCTACCCCTTGAATTTCTCTTTTTTTTCTTCATCATCAAGTAGGCTCAGTTCTAATTCTACTATTTATTTCTTTTGAAAACGCCAAACATTGATAAATGTTTTAGCTCCTGCCTACAGAAACAAGCAATGTGGCTGCAGCTGAGACCAAAGCCTGAACAGATTTCATTAGAATAGCTGCCCGCCAACTTGCGATAAGGAGTTTGCAAGGCCAACCTTTTCCATACACAGACAGGTCACTGCCTTTGAAACATTTCTTCTTTGCTTGGCGCAGGGGTGGAACAGCTTGAGTGAGCAAAGCTGTTTTTACTGTCTGTTTTGGAAGCCAGTTAATCATTTTCAACAACCGGTGAAATTATTTAGATTACCAGGAGCAAATTTACATTTCCCTTCCTTAATCTTGCCGAGGAGAAGTTGGCTAACGGTAAATGGCATACGCTGTCATTTTAATTGAAAATTGTTTGGCTAACTGAGCAAATAAATTTTGTGTTTAACTCCTTCGAGTCGCCTCGGCCAAGCACAGTCTCCTTCATTCCCCCCCCCCACATTCTAGGGCTTCCGAGGCTGCTGGTGGCCGTGCCGCAGCTCGCTCCCTCTGTTCCACGCACGGTTACGCACACACCCTTGCGCAACGCCTTGGTTACTCTTTGAGAGTAAAAGCCGCCTCTGATAACAAAAACTTCTCAATATTTGACTTGGCGGTCGCCTCTTAATAAGTGATCTTTCTGGTCATCTTTCCGATGTTTTGTTTCCCAGGCTGTCTCTCCGTACTTGCGCACGACAGCGTTCTGTGTCGACTTCCCTCTACCTGTATAACCTGACTCCTCCTAATCTGTCTTCAGGCACTTACATCTGCCAAGGGAAGGAGCTCATTCCCCTCGGAGAAGCGCTGCTGGAGAACCCCAACATGAAACTACAGATTCCCCTGAAGAACAAGAAGTCCATGCCAGACGATCTCTGCAAGCTCCTGCACGACATGCTGGCTTTTAACCCAAAGGAGAGATTGGATGCCTTCCAGCTGGAAGTCCGAATCAGGCAAATCTCCTACGGCAAAAAGCGTCAGCGCTCCGTCTCGTAGAGACGAAGGACGTTCAGGTTAGTGTCTCTGCCAGGCTGCTCCCTCTTTAGTCTGAGCTCGCAGGGGATTTTCTGGTATTGACCTCCGGGCCGAAGCCCTCTAAGTCAGACGTGACCCCTAGCAGTTCTTGAAAATTCAGTGACAGACAGATCCACATCTGTCAAACTAGAAGAGGAAAAGGCTTCGATAAACGTTTGGGAAAAGGAATTTGGCTGAAGGACGTCTGACAAAGAAACTTTTGCTTCCTTGGTGGTGTTTGTTCAGGGAATTGGCTGTGCTGTCTGTATTCGGGCCAGCCCGTCCTTTACCCAAAACCTCATCTGTTTCCACAAACAGGGGCAGATTGCTGCCATCTCTCCAGCGTTCACCCGTGCTTGTTTGTTGCCTTTACAATACACTCGCTAACTAAACAGAAGCTGAAGTGGCCCCAGTTACTGTATATTTGTAGGTGTCTTAAATATGGTATGCAGGTATGGCAGGAACTGTCAGATTAAAGACAGGTTTATTTTTTTGGTAATTAAAGCACTGTTAATGCTCTGAGTGTTTCAGAGCTGGGTGCACCAGGTGATAGGGGAGCTTCCTGTCCCAAACTGCTTAACGGGTAAAAAAATTGGTCCTAATCCTTGTGAGTTCTTGATGGCCTCTTTAGCATCTGCCTTGACGGAGGTTTGAATGCTCAGCACAAAGTTCCAGATGCTCTGTCAGATTCCGTGTGTTCCAGCAGAGCGATGAAAATACGGAAGGGACTTCCCTGGCTTTTGAAGTCCTGTCTTCTGCTGTCTTGGGTTTCGTATTCTAGAACTTCTTTGACAAATGCATTAGAGAACTAAAGGGGTTTGTGTCTGATACTGAGCACCTGGCTGTCGTGATAGCTAAAGACGTTGTCCTTCACAACGCAGATGCGTTTCTGATCAGTTTAATACCCTTGATCTTGTGACGGACTTGTCCTTCACCTTAAAACGCTCTTCTCCTTCCCAGGTGTTTGCCCATCCTGAGCTGTTTTATAGGGAACAACTAACTTCAGCAGCATTTCTTCCCGTCGGGGGCCGGTCGGTTGCTTCCATCGAGCTTGGCTCCTCCACCTCCCCCATATACAAGTAATTACACTTCCTCTCGACGAGTCTCTTCAGGTCCTTGTAAAGCACCAGTGTTTGCCATCTAGTCTGGAAATACTCCTCCTGATGTGTTCCAGGTTCGCGTCTCCCTCCTTTCGTATCTATATCACTTCATTCTCTCCTAATTACTTCGTATCCTAAAGCCCTTTCTGACTGGAGTTGCTTCAAACCAGTATCATTCTGGGTTACAGCAGTCACTTTTGTTCACAGATGCGTGACCTTGTGTTTTCTATTGCCAAGTTTCATCCCCTGTCAGTCAGAAGAAGCGGTGAATGACCCCGAATATTTCCTCGTCCTTTTTCATAACCGGAATACCTCCAGGTTCATGTCATCAGCACGCTTCTAATTGTGCCAAGGCTGTTAGTGAAAACATTAATTAAACAAGTCAGTTGCCAGTGCCAATCTTGATAAAGCTCTGCTCTAGCCTCTTCATTTCCAAATTATCCTTTTCAGTTCTCCCTTGGGACAGGTTAACTGCCTTACATCTTCCTTTTTGCTAATCCCGGTCTTCTCCTGTCTATCGAATCCTTTCTGGTGCGGTACTGCATCGCGTGCTTCGCTGAAATCTCAGTGGACGAGGGCAATGCTTCTTTTTACCTAGAAAAATCAGTTTTATCGCTGAAAGCCGCTCGGTGAGCATGGTAGGATCTGGGGTTCGGGGGGCTCCCACCTGAACCAGGCGGCCCGGCGCACTGTAACAGCAGCAGTGCCACTAGCTGGCAGGCCAGCCCCGAAGTGGTTGGTTAGCCTGCGACAGAGGAATCTGCGAGGAGAAAAAGGGGACTCTAGCAGCGCAGCGTCAGGCTCGCTGCTGTCGACTTCCCTTTTTCATGGTGAAACCATAATGGTAAAGAGACTTGCAGATAGGTTCAGAAGAAAAAAAAGCCAGCACAGCCAGGAAAACCCCGCCTGTCT